TATCATAACCATCGACGCCAGGAAACAGATTATAATTCCCGGTAACATATGAAACGTGAAGCGCCCGAAGTCAATGCCCTTCATGTGTTTGACGCAAACGTTTCCAATAATACAAAACAAAAATTAAGTTTAGAGTCTTTTTGTTTATCTCTTTTCACTCTTGAGTTAAATAACAAAAAAAATATCATAAATATTGAGAAAGAGATGAATCACTAAATTCAAGGGAATCTTAAGTCTATATTTGCACTCAATATCTAACAAAAAGTTACTATTTATCCAAATTATCATTTTTGGTGCCAAAATAGCTGTGTTTATGATAGCAATAGTAATAATAATATTAATAATATATTTCTATTGGAATAAAACTTTCCAAAAGATAGACCCAAACTAATGACATGAGCTTATTGTTTGAATTAAAAACATTTTTAGCTTACTTCTACTTATAATTAGTTTATATTATGTCAAAAAACCACACATTTTGCTATAATAATAACTCTAACAATAGTTCTTTCCCTAAATTTATTTCCCGATTAATGTATTATTATTATACAAAAATAAGTTTATAATTAACTCTATAGTTATTTAAAGTTTTTAACGAAAATAAATGTCTTTTATGATAGCATTTCCGACATTAATGTAATTTACACAACAAAACGATTGTTGCGAAAGAAATGATTATAAGTTATAATTATGTAATTATAATTTATAACTATCGCTAACATGTTAAATTTATCAAAATATTTCAATTTATGTATTCGTCGATGTATTGCAAAAGTTTTACAATTTATAAAACAGTTACAAAAACATTAAATCATATTAAACGGCCACCACTTCAAAGTCTTATCACTAGATAATTTAGTAAATGTTATGATATTTCTAACAAAATATTATTCGAAAATTAAAAGTAAAAATAATATAAGCAATTGATGGGCTCTCCAAATAAGGAGACAGTATATCTCACAAAAATGTACACTTTATAAACATTAGACTAACACTTGATTTCAATCTTTAAAAAAATAGTTATTAATTTCAAAGTTAAATCAGTTCTCATTGACACTAAATAAGATCAAAGTCTATAGATTAGGGACAAAATGACTATTAATTGCTACCAATTTCTTATAATAACATAAATTCTTCAACTATTCTAATATTTAGTGTAAATATAAATAACCAAATTTTATGACAAAAGATTAGCAAATAATATAGTAATTAGAAAAAAATACGGAAATAAATTTGCAAAACATGTAATCAACACAAACAACTGATAAAATAATGTGAATTACCTGTTGCTGTATTTTAGCGCTCGATATAATGATGACATTCGGGGGGTCGCCCACAGGTGTGGCGGCGCCTCCGATGTTAGAGAATATAACCAGA